CTCCCCTCAGAATACAAAATGTAAATCCTGACAAACCAGCATCTCCTGCTGTGTAACGACACGTAAAGAAATGAGCATGTGTGCTAATGCTTACTAGTATAAAGCCCTTCGTCTTACATATGTTCCATACTGTCCTCACTTGTTGAGATGTTTGCTACCTTTAGGGACTTCTGGGAGACAAACTCAATCATTTCTGCCTATTGATGGTGGGGCGTATGATGTGGCGTGCACAGTGACCTCGAGAGGTCACATGCACTGCAGCTACTGACTGCTGTTACCTGATGAGAGTCAGGATTCAGTGCTGTTCTTTTCTTACTGCAGCTGAGTTTGTCTTCGTGGACATGACGTCACTGAAATCTGTGCGACACTTTGTGCGGTTGTTCAGGGACAGAGGTCTACCCCTCCATGTCCTGGTTAATAACGGTAGGCTATACAAACGCACACTGATGATGGTCTTTGCAAAGTCACGCACCGGTTTACTACATATTAAACTTGTTCCTTTCACATAGCTGGGACCATGATGGTTCCTGACAGACAGACAGAGGATGGCTTTGAGTACCACTTGGGCCTCAATTACCTGAGCCACTTCCTGCTGACCAACTTGCTGCTTGATCTGCTGAAGAGGTCAGGAAAACCGGGCTGCTGCTCTAGAATCATCAACATGTCCTCTGCTACACATTACGCAGGAGTCATAGACATGGAGGACTTAAACAGGAGGTGAGAAGATCAGTGGGTGTGAAACCCTCTGAGTCTGAAAGAATACAAAATGTTTGAGTGATTACATTTTATAATAATCACACAGGAAATCTGCAACTTCACTGTCATGTTTAAACTGGAACACTTTGTCATCCTCATTCCCCTAGATCCCAGCGTTAGCACTGTTAGCGCTCCTGCACACCACTAAAAACAAACTACAGAAGGTACATCCTGCTGCAGGTCACAGCGTCGCTGCAGACTTTAATCAGACACATCTGAAGACTGTGCTTCCTGATTTCAGCCAGCATGTATTCTTAGCATGCCTACAGAGCGGCGGGCCTGTTGGAGCATCTCTTACTGCTCCTGAGTAGGAAAAACGAGGCACACGTGTTCAAAGGTTTTATCTTAGTTGGATTACTGTGTGAGGATACGGGGTAATGCACACAGGCACACTACAGAAACCAGATAAGCTGAATATGTGGAGCACACAAACTCGTGGATGTGGTCAAATAATGGACGGGAAACAAAATAAGGTTCACAGACAGAGACAAAGGAGGGTTATGAGCTGAAGGCTGCATTTAAAACCATGTGCATAACAGTCTATGGACTGTTTTATAGAATCTGGAGAAGTTAAAAAAATGATTTCCAACACACTCTTTGAAGTGTTTTTATGGTGTTAAATGTTTCCATGGTTGTGATGTATGTTACATAATGGGCTGGGATGATGTGTGAACATGTAGACAGGACTGAGAGCAGCACTCTCACAGCAACGATGCCTTTTAGAAAACTACCAATGAAATCTGTTGAATTTCAGACATTTAAGGTTTTTGTTCACAGGAATTGTTGGTTTGTGTTCTAGTTGGGAAGAGTGCATGTTCTCACCCCGAGATAACGAGAGTGATAATAGGATGTCGGAGTTTTCATGAACGCAGCTCTGACCTGGATGCTGTTTTCTCTGACTGAGAAAGCTGCTCTCAGCTCTGTACCGGCTGCAGTACTCTGGGGAAGTTTGGGATATAAAAAACAGCCAGGTTAACTCTGATTCTCCCTTCATCCTCTTCTTCCCAGGATCCAGTACAGTTCCCATGGTGCTTACTCCCAAAGCAAACTGGGTCTGGTCCTGTTCACCTACTACCTGCAGGAGCAGCTGACTGCCAGCAGCTGCTCTGTGACTGTGAATGCTGTGGACCCGGGAATGGTGGACACGGCGCTGTACGATAACCTGTGGACTCTGGTGCAGCTGCTCAAGAAGCCAGTAGCCAAGATATTGTTCAGGGTGAGGACCAAGTTATTCATCGTCTTCAGCTGGAAGGTTTTCCTCCGTTATTATTACTCTTTGTTCATGTTTTGGAGATTATGTTTGGGAATTTCAGGAGCAGGAGCAGGCCTCCAAACCTTCCAGCTGTCATCTACAGAGGTTCCCCCAGTTCTGCAAGCTGTTCATTCTCCTTTACGTGCCCTCCCTCCCTCCTTGTTCTCAAATCTTTAACTTCTTCCTTTCTATTTAGTACACGGGGATCTGCCAGGCCGGGAGCCGTCGCCAGTCCCCTTCGAGGCCTTCCCCAAACCGCAAAATGAGGACGTGGGCCCAGCGAGTGAATTCTTATCTCCGATACTGATAATGATGCATATAAAGACCTGGTGTGTGTGTGTGTGTGTGTGTGTGTGTGTGTGTGTGTGTGTGTGTGTGTGTGTGTGGTGTGTGTGGTGTGTGTGTGTGTGTGTGTGCGTGTGTGTGTGTGTGTGTGTGTTGTGTGTGTGTGAGAGTCCTCTGTCAGTATAAATAGTGAGTTGTCCATTAATATTCATCATCTCTCTCACTACTCACTCACACACATCTCTCTCTCTCTCTCTCCTCTCTCTCTCACCTCTCTCTCTCTCCTCTCTTCTCTCCCTCTCTCTCTCTCTCTCTCGCTCTCTCTGTCTCTCTCGCTCTCTCTCTGCTCTCTCTCTCCCCTCCTCTCTCTCTCTCTCTCCTCTCTCTCTCTCTCCACACTCTCTCTCTCTCTCTCTCTCTCTCTCGCACACACTCTCTCTCTCTCTCTCTCGCATCTCTCGCTCCGTCTCTCTCTCTCTCTCTGCTCTCCTCTATCTCTCTCTCTCTCTCTCGCTCTCTCTCTCTCTCTCGCTCTCTCTCTCTCTCTCTCTCTCTCTCTCTCTCTCTCTCTCTCCCTCGCTCTCTCTCTCTCCTCTCTCTCTCTCTCTCTCTCTCTCTCCATCTCTCTCGCTCTCTCTCTCTCCCACTCTCTCTCTCCTCTCTCTCGCCTCTCCTCTCTCTCTCTCTCCCTTTTCGCTCCTACACACTCTCTCTCTCTCTCTCTCTCTCTCTCACACACACTCTCTCTCTCTCTCTCTCTCTGCAGGTGTAAGCTGCTGGTCAGCAGCTGTGTGTGTGGCTGATGCTCTGCACTAAACCTTCAGTTCAGTTTGAACCACATGGTTGTGAAACTTTGTGTGATGCTGTTATGATGACATGATGTGTTCACTGACAGGCACAGAAATCAGACATGCTGCAGCTGAAGTATTCTAAAGCATCTTTATGAGAGGAAACACTCACTTTTGGAGATGCTACGAGGCTTTGAAGCTGTTGTTGTTCTGTGCTTTGCTCAGACTCCAGCAGAGGGAGCCTCTACAGCCGTCTATGCTGCAGCTGCTTCTGAGATGGAGGGGGTGGGTAGCTGTTACCTGTACAACGGCCAGAAGACGCAGTCTGCGGCTGTTTCCTACGACTCTGAACTACAGGCCAAGCTGTGGAAAAAGAGCTGCCAGCTGGTGGGTCTGCAGGAGGCCTGACCCACCAGCTGACCTTAAGGCTGGATACTTCTGCATCCTCAGTCCTCACTGGGACAATCTTATCTAACAATGTTTCAGAAGCCAAACATTTCAAAGTTTTGCAACAATACGCTTGATTTCATATATAACTTTTACTCATATGGACGTGTTCATTGTGTTATGATTTTAACCACCTCTATTTGAACTTTACCTGACAAAAAAGATAACTATACCAAAGGAGCAATTACATCCACGGCCTGTGGTAGGCCCGAGCTCATGGCCCATCATATGTGCCTGTTTGTAAACCACACCTTAATATGATTAATATTCCAGACAAAGACAGACGTAGAAAGGTCTGAGCTCACATGAAGCCTTCGTGCCTTAGCTTTACCTGTTCATGCCTGTAAATGACTTCTTACTGATTTATTCTTCACTTTATATTTCACTGTGTGCTATGATGTTGCTGCTAAAGGAGCAAAGCGTGCCTCAGGAGTGATGTATGCTTTATCAGTTTTATTTATATAGCACCAAATCACAACAACACTCGCTTTAAAGCGCTGAAATGACCGGAGGTGGAGCCAGAGGTGGAGCCGGAGGTGGAGCCGGAGGTGGAGCTGGCAGAGTTCAGTACGCTGTGATTTTCATTGGCAGTGAGCAAGATGGATGGCAGTGTAAATGAATATTGTCTGCTCAGGCTGGGACAACGTTAGAGGTGAGACGTGCATATGCTGGACAAACACAGCTGCCAGGGTCAAAGAGGAAGTTCATGGATGCAGTGAAGGAGGGTGGGAGCCAGGTGATAGTGACAGGTTAGGATGATCTGCTGTGGTGACCTCTAAATAGTAAAGGTACACAATAAAGTACTACACTGATGTGTTTTACTGCAGAGTAGGTGAGTACAGTCAGACTTGGAGCTGAGAGCAGTCCCTTTAACTCTGGCTGTAAATGGGTGGAGTTGGCTTCACCCACAGACGGGACCACTTAGTGTAACTGTAATGCTTCATGAATGTGACTCCATAAAAGAAACATGAACCTGTCAGTGTTAGTAAAACTAATGATCACTGCTGCTTTAGTCTGGTTTGCTGTAATGAACTCGTCTCCTACATGTTAACTCTCACGCTGTCACAGGCTCACAGCGCCACCCTGTGGACACTGTATGTATGACGTCATTTATATTGTTCCATGTACATTCTGCTCTGTTTACGCACTTTGCACCAATGTAGCCATGTTTCTGCAGTCTGTGCTGTTATTTGATCTCTGAAATGGTAAATAAAAGTCACGTCTCGGTCTATCAAGGATTGGTGTTGTTACTCTGTAGCTTAGTACTGTTGTAAGTACTTTTTCTTGCATGTACTCTTTTAGGGAAGAGTTTTTAGAAAGGTCTAAATCAAAGTCACTCACTGGGCTTTTGTAAAAATCTGCATCTCTACTGAAGCAGCAGTTTGCTTTAACGGATTTGGTAACATTACAAAGACGGACAGCCGAATATTTCCTCAGACCAGGAAACCCAAGCTGAGCTGAAACAACAAGAGTTAAATCAGATGTTTTATTTAATAAGTAAAACAAACATTCAAATGGTGTCATTAAACCAGGTAAACGTGCAAAAATAAATGCTGAAGTGCAAGCTGTTAACGATTAAACGTGCAGCTAAGAGAAGAAGTGCTTCTTTACACACTGATGAGAAACAAAACTTCCATACATCCACACAACATCAGGGAGAAGGTTTTCCCAGAAATGAGATGCCGGGTGTGAGTAGAAGGTGAAGCAGGGCGTTTAGTACATGCGTGGCTCGTCAGCCTCTGTTCCACTTTGCTGTGCCTCCACCTCAGCACTGCTGTCCTCACATACAGTAAACCAAACGGATCACGTGACGTGCACTCAGTGCTCAGCGGTCACACAAAGTGCTCACACTTTGCCAGAGCTTCTCTGTCACCTTACACTCCCTCACAGCCTCGTGACACAGTAATCTGGATCACTGCAGGCGGATTACTGACTTAAGGTCCACGGGCTTTAGTGTCAGCTGTGGATGGATAAAAATACCCAGCTTGGCCTGCAGAGGGAGTCTCACCGTCTGTGATCTGATTTAAAGGCTAATAGGAGTTACTGTTGTGAACACACAGTGTGCGTTTGTTGTACATCATGGAGCTGATCATTACTGTTCCCTTAGTTTATTTCATAAAGAAAACTAAAAGGAGAGAAAAGCTGTTAAAAGGACACTCGCTCATGTCCACCTCCACTGACCCCACAACCTTCAGCGGGCCACAGTAACCATGAAAGCTGCTTCATATATTCACCACACAGAGAAGTTCCTGTCTGATAATCCAAAGCTAGTAAAGCATGTTTTTCACGTTCCCATTGAATCAACACGATGTTCAGTCAAGTCAAGCAGACACTGCACTGAAAGGTCGTTTGCAATAACGATGAATGAAAATAAGCTGGGAGATATACGTAGTGCTCCACCACATCCTGGGTCAGTACTGATCTGACCCAAAGAAGTGGCTCCTGGCTCTGGATCTAGAGGCTCTCTTTGACCCTCCCTGTTGCTCTTTATCTTTGAATGAAGTGCTGTGGACGATCTGGGATGTCCTGTCACGAAGCTTCTGCAGTTTGGGCTTCATCCTGCTCAGTGAGGACTTCCTCCAGAGGGACATTTCCCTGGGTTGGCCCTCACTGTCCCCAGAAGCACAATCGTTGGAGTTAAGCTGGCTGAGGGGCTTCATGTTAGAGATCCTCCAGCGTCTTCCGTCCCTGGGATGAGAGTTCTCACCTGCAGAGCACTCACAGCCTCCAGCGATGCTCCGTATCTCCACGCTCACGTTGTCGGTGAGGTACTGGCAGGCCTTCCTCCCACTATAGTCTCTGATCTCCACATCTGCATTGTAGGTTCTAACCAGAAGCTTGACCACCTCCACGTGACCGTGCATGGCGGCGATGTGCAGAGGTGTGTAGCCGGTGCTGGTTCGAATATCAATATTAACAGAAATGTTGTGCAGCTTGGCAAAATTAATAATCATGGCTATGAGCTCAGGCTTGCCGTGCTTGGCGGCCCAGTGCAGGCAGGTGAAGCCAGTCACAAAATCCTTCTTCAGGATGAGGCTGGGTTCTGCGGTGAGGAGGCGATGCAAGCTGCTCCACTGCCCGTCTGAAGCGCACATCATCCACTCGTGCTCCATAGGCTCCAAGGCTACAGCTGTCCTGTCTTCGTCCAGGGTGGAGGAAACCATAGAGGTGGAGTCAGCTTCAGCCCTGGGGGACAGGTAAAAAGAGCGCCGAATCCCTGGGGAGCTGTTCATCATGACCTCTAGGAAATGCTTGCGACTCCCTCTCGGGGTGCTGTTATCGTCGCTTCCAGACAAACTGTGCGTATCTACGCGCTCCTCCTCCTGTGACTCCGGCGGGCCAAAGGGAGAGCTGTGCTGGGACTCTGCAGACTTTCTGCACATGGTCACACTAAGCCCCTCTGCTGCGCTCAGGCTTTCCTGTGACTCAGCCTGCTGCTCAGCAGCAGTAAGTACCTGCCCCGTCCTACCGGTGTGTGCAGGCCCGGGTACGCTAAAGAAAGATGTCTCTGGAGCGAGCGGCGACGCTTCAGCCACTGTAATTTCTGGTACGTTGGGCTCTTTTCCAACCGGCTCCTTTCTGGACTCCCTGTCGTCTCGTCTGAAGCTTTCCCAGTTTCCCATCGCCTTCCAGCTGCTGTCCTCTGTACAAACACACCGAGGACACTTTGTCCTGTCAAATTCTTTCAGTGTTGAAATTATGCGGAACTCTGACTTGGCTGTTATTTCCGTAACCTGAACCAGGTGTTTCTCCTCACTTCTTGTTCCGCGGGCTGGCTGTAACGCATCCACTAAAACTACTCACAGCTGTGATTCACTGGACTTCTACTAAGTACCGATTGCGCCAAAGCACCATTTTTCTTTGAAACAGGCAGCGCTTATGAAACTAAAATACTTGCAGACTTTTTATTTACACGTGTACCTGTGTGCGTAAAAACCCACGACGGAGTGTTAAAGCCACATTAGGAAAATATTATCGCTCAGTTTGAGAAGAAAATCTCTTGCAGAGCCTTTTTTCAAGGCAGTAATACCCGCACGTTTAAGGAGTCCAACTGGACCCCACCCAGTGTTTACTGGACAGGATACTGGGAATAAACCAGAACTGATGGATGTCTGTGCCGCACTCACAGCATGTATTACAGTCTAACCTCCTGTTTCTAACGACTTTACTATAAAGCTTTTTCGAGGGAGATATTATTTTAAGTGAAATAGTAATTTGGTGTATCATGTTAATAGTTCCGTTGGATACTTAAAGCACGTGTTGGATCAATAAATACTGAAATCTGTTCCGTCGTTGCTGTTTGTTAAATCCAGAAACGTTATTTCACTTCTGTTCCAGCCGTTCTGCATATCTAACAAACCTGTTGTTATTATGTGTTTGGAGCCAGCCCTCTGTGTAAATATTAATGTGATTGGCCTTAGATTAATAGCAAAAGGAAATATTCTGAATAAACGAATTATCTCTCGCTTCACTGTATACATTGTTTTATTGTTTTTACCTCTGATATCTGCGCAAAATGCTGAAGCGTTCTTGTCCTGGTTATTTTCTCAGAGCCGTTTTCCTCGTAACTGAGTCAAGTTAATTTTTAAAAAGTCGACCAGGTTAGACAAATAACCAGTTTAACCTTTTCTAAAAACAATACCTGAGAGTAGCTATGAAAATATTCTGATAACATTTACATTTCTTTACGGCTGCTCATAATTTTACCGTCACATTTGTTCATTCTCCTTTTTTGTAATTCGATGAAGTAGGAACTGTTTTTAAATCACCTTCAGTCATGTATGTATTATTGTAGGGTCTGCCTTACAAAGCGCCTGAGACGACTGCTGTTGTGATTTGGTGCTGTATAAATAAAGTTGAATTGAAAATCTGTTTGTCTTCTGAGATTCTCTCACTTTGTAAATATAAATAAACAAGTTGACCTTTTCATTACCTGAACAGGATTTTTTTACACCATCATTTAAACTTTATGCGTTAAATTTCCACCATTTGTGTCAGAGAGTTAGTTCTGTTCCAGGTTTGAAAGTAATAGTGACGCCACAATGATCAATAATTTTTATATTAAGGAGTGCGCATGCGTCAACCGGCATGCAGCCTGTTTCAGTTGCTCCCGCTTTTCTCTCCATACTTTGTCTTACTTTTAGTTAAAGTGCTCTGATTCAGATGAATGGCAGCTGCAGAGATGTTGGCTTGCGACACATTTAACAAATATCTTGGGTAACAAACCAAAAACTAATTCTTGATCAACAATTTCATTTGGGTCTGATCCATGAAAACCAGCTTATTATGGGGTTAAAATGTGTCCATACACCAATTACATTATTATTATTCAATTAAATTCAATGTTATTTATGTAGCACCAAATCACAGCAACAGTTGTCCTGAGATGCGTATTAAAAGAATCTTGTTTGGATTGTGTTCATGGTATAAATAGGAGACTACCACACCATTCATCAGGGCCACAACTAACACCAGCTAATGTAAAGTCATCTGGGTATTTTGCTTTTAGATCTCCAATAACATCTCCAGTAATATCTTGTTCTTAGAGTCTCCATTGTATCCACAAACATTCAAACGAATAAAGACAGACTGTTCGACATTCAAAACTGCAGAAATCCAGTTTGTTTCCTGGGAAACTGTTCAGGTGTGCGGCTAATAAAACTGTCCCTCTATCATTGATTACTCCAAAGGTTTGAGTCTTCCTTACTGGAATTAATTTTATTGTAGAACGACTCGGAGTTCATCATTAGTTTACTTCAACATGATTTCTTCTTGAATCAGTCGCACATGAATATGACACAACATCTCCTCTTAGTTTCACAGGGTTACCTTTTCTCTTCACGACTCTTCAATCACAACATAATCTAAAATCCCCTTTTCAGTCGTACATGGTAAAGTCGGGGCTTCTCACATATAACACACTACCTGCTGCGCTCTCACAGCAGTGATATCAATGCTCCTGGGAGTCAGGGTCAAAAGGTCAGGCCTACAAATCCTTTCCATCACTCAGACTACATTTCTCATTCTTGAGTTTGATTATATTCTGATTAGGATTAACCATGATTCAGCTACACGTTGCTGCTGCCACCAAATAAAACCATTAAATAAAACCACAGTCGCCCCTGCTAAGACGGTACGGTGTTATCCTAATAACAAACCGTGGGTAACACAGGAAGTCAAAGCTGTCCTCAACATGAAGAAGAAGGCTTTCAGGAGCAAAGTGAAGGAGGAGATGAAAGCAGCACAGCGGGAGGTGAAACGCTGCCTGAGGGAAGCAAAGGACACCTACAGGAGGAAGGTGGAGCAGAAGTTGGAGAGGAACAATATGAGGGAGGTCTGGAATGGTGTGAAAACCATCACAGGCCACAACACCAAGAAAAGCACAGTGGGGGGGACTGTGGAGAAGGCAAACGAACTCAACAACTTCTTCAACAGGTTTGACCAGCCCACAACCCCCCCACCCTCACCCTCA